CACTTTACTCCACTTCACCTGGTCTGGAGGGACCTTTAAGGGGTGGGGCATTCACCACACATTCACTATGTAGTCCCTGGAGGCAGATTTAATTTTGTTTTCCGCATAGGGGGGGGAGCTCAGAGGAACCGCGACCTGTCACAACTCGAGTGAGTCTTCAGGTGCGAGTGCAGAGGCAGTGCCAGAGCTTCAGATGTCTCCCTTTGTTTGCCCCGTTTTCTGATGGCTGATTGTTAGGCAAATGTTTGGGTTGGCTTTGGCTCTGACTTGCACCTGCCATGGCTTACTTTCACAGACTCACTTCGTCTGAATCGCTGAATGATTGCGCTTTGCATATGAATGGAAAGACAAACAGCAAGGGACAGGGACGGGGGAGAGTCGCTTCGGATGTGCTGTGCTGGATGAGCTTTTGGCTGAAGTTTGCTGAAGTTCTTGATCTTAAACTTAAACTTATTCTCTCTCTTTCTCTCTCTCTTTGCTCTTTTCATCTGAAGAGTTTAAAGTTTAACAATTTCTTGCACACATTTACTTTTGCTTTCTATTTTTTTTTTATTGTTTCGCTCTTTTAAAACACACACGAAAGTGAAAACATGCCGCGTCTCCATTCTCGGCCGTTCGAAAAATTTAAATTTGAATTTGAATTGCCAATTGACGACGAGATGGATGGGGGAACGACAAGATGGAAAGATGAACAGACGAAAACGAACGCCACCGATTGTAACCGTTAGATCGAATACTAGCGGTTTGTTCTGCTTTTGATGGGCAGGCAAAAGAAACAATAGAAATCCAGTAATGAAATAAAACAAAGCAAAAAGTAAAAGTATTCGAACAGTGGCAACTCCAGCCGCTGAACTCCGACAACGGGGCGGATGCCGGTCAAGCAAGCTTGCTTCATTTCCTCACTGCAATCTCTAGGGGGAGTTCATCCAAATTTGTGAACAAGTTTTTTAATTTCATTGAACCATTATTCAATAGGAATATTCAATCTGCACAGGTAAACTCTATTGAAGGTCCCCTGATTTTACACCTATAAAATTATAATATGCTGAGTGTAAATAAAAGTAAAAAATAAATTAATTAGATTAAATTAAGTTCGGACACACAGCAAATGCTCAGTAAATATGTACAATAAATAGGCGGACAGAATAATTTAAAAATGAACAACAAAAAACACTTTCTTCCGAGGTAATCAAACTAAGAAATTAATATTTATATTATTCACCAACTACAAATCTTTCCACATATCTACGAAAATTCTGTAAGTAGTTCTAATTTCGTTAGACATTAAAAACTCAGCTGGCAGAACACTTAAAGAAGCCGTTTCCCTTTTTTCCTGGTTGAAATCAATGGAAATTCTGTAGCGAAAATTTGGTTCATCAATTTAAAATCCTCTTCTCTTAGTAATTCTTTCTTTCTCTCTCTCTCTCTCTGGTTCTCTCCTACCTATCCTCATTCATATTTTACAATTGCCTAATATTCATAATTAAATGGTTCAAACCCAAAAAGCAGCAACACCAACTAGCAACCAGCCACAATTTCGTTTTCTACTTTTATTTTATTGCTCCACCATTAATGGTATTATTGTTGGGTTTGGGGCTGGGGCTGGGGCTGTGGCTGGGGTCTCTGCTGTTGCTCGAGGACGGGGCTTTTACGATCATTTCCCATCCGCCGACTAGGGGGGCATCGTTAACCACCAAATACCGAGCACTGTTTTCCAACTCACCTGCATGAAGAAATTATTCCTCTTTTTATGGTTTTACCCCTCAAAATCACTGAAGCATCTTTTTGAGGTGATTTCGGGTGTTTTGGTTTGTTTCTTTTTATTTTTTGGAATATTTAACTACTGCAGATCACAGCCTTTGCGCCAGATACATTGCCATTAAAGTTTTAGATTCATTTACCATAATGTTGGATGGAGTTCTTTACGTGAAAGCTGTGAGCTGTAAGCTCCATCATTTTCCCATTACAATTATTTTTATTATTCAAAATATTTGTTCAGCCTTTTCACAGACTAAAAGTTTTCGTGTAATTTTTTTGTATTGCTATGGCGCAGGTATTTATGCAATAATATTTTATAATATTTATAGATTAAGCTCAGAATTCTTTACTAAGTACGATCGTACTTCACTCCTAAATGTACTCGCAAGTACTTAAGTTTCGTTTATATGCAATCTCTGTGCCTTAGAAAAATTACATATTATTATTCATGATTCTTTATAACACATTTCCATGGCGAATATCCAATTAGGTTGCATCAAGCGGAATAATTTTGTTATTCTTCGTTAGGTTTTTGAATTTAGACATGCAGAGTACTTTGTACCCGACTCGATCATCGCTGGGGCCCACCCATCTATCAATTATGCTATGTACCTTATTATATATGTAGTAGACAGATACAAATTCTCGAAGGTTCTTCAAGTGGATCAACTCAAGCGTGGCAACGATTTGCTGAATGGTGGAGGAAACACTGGAGGAAATCTGTGGCGGGTATGAGCAGCTGCTCGGGGGATGACTTAGTGCTCGTAATCGTAGTTGGGCGACCAGCTGGGGTGTTCCCATTGACTGAGTCGAATCTTCTTGAAGATTCTCTAGTGGGCCAGCCGACTGTAGGCGAAAATTCAATATGATTTTATAATATAATGTATTTATTTGTTGCGAAAACTGGGGAGCCCACTATAGCCCATGGTGTACCCTTGGGTGACCCCCTTTAGGTACCACCGTGAGTCATGGTGGAGTGTGTTCAAATGGCGTGAAGAGTGTCATGATTTCTGGTTCAATGGTGTGCTCTGGACTGCTGTGTCTCTGGCGTTCCTGGACCTACGAGCATCCTCAACCTTCGCTTTCAGCTGCAGCTCCATTTTACATAATCGCTCTTATTTATCCACTGCTTATCTCTGTTTTGGCAATGTGACCCAAAAAGGCCAATGAAAATGAAAATGAAAATGTCAGAGATTAAGTCCATTAAGTGGGCCCCAAGTAACCCTTGGGCGGCTGGCTAAAGTGGCCAGTGTCCAATATATAACGAGTAAATGTCGCTTAGAAAGGCTGTCATTGAGGAGGGCTCGCCTGTGCCCATAAAGCAGCCCCATAAAGCACCATCCATAATGCAAATATACGAGCACGTTATAATAGATCTGCTTTTGACTGCGCCTCCATCCGCATTTCACGTACGAGTATTCATTCCATTCAAATTCAAATTCAAATTTGAGATGAATTCGCTTGGCTTGGTTCAGCTTGGTTCAGCTGCCACGAAGGTTGAACTGAAATGTCGCTTGCAGAAATCATTCAGACGGCATTCACATGCCGACACTGTCCATCATCAAAACATCTGACATACATTTAAAGTAATATCAATAATATATAGATATTGTATTGTACAAATATACGAGTATATATATAGGTGTGTATGATGGCTCTTGGCACACTTGGCCCGCTGGGGTTTCGGCTGCTGATTGCACAAGGCATTTTCAAATTGTATCTTCATTCAGATGCATATTAGCATACAGATTACAATGCACCAGATGGGGGGATGCTGCCAGAACCGTTACCTGGCTCCCAACAGTAGCTGTAGAGAGTTGCCGAAAATACATATGTATGTATCTCATTGGATATCTTTTGAATGTCTTGGAAATTCAGTTGCTAAATACAGCGAATGATTGATTCATATCCGTCATACCATTGATGTCTGAATATACTGACGGCTGCCATTAAAGGTAACTCGATAACAGACTAAAACTATGAGAAGAGATTTACGAGAGTAACAAATTGTATTCCCATTTAATGTGTTTAATAAATTAGTCGGAATATTAGGGATTAAAATATACAATTTTATTTAAAGCGAGAGCTGACCTAACCCAACAGACATTGCACTAAAGGATCTTCATCTCTCTCTTAAATATATTTACATATATGAAACGTAGATTTGTATTTCGACTGCCATATCTAGTGTAATTTAATAATGGGCCAGATTAGGGCTAATGCTCAGGGCTGCAAATATATTTTCTTTATGTATATAAGAGAGAAACGTCCCTGCCAAACAATTCATAAATTAGCAAATATTTTTTGGCTGTGCAGTAAAAAAGAAATTAAGACATCCTTTAAATCGAATCGTACGCAAGTGGTCCAAGTGGGTCCGCCCCTTCCTTTGTAACCAAACTTGTACTCGCAGTAGTGTTTATGGTAGGATTGGATTCATATGTACCCACATGTATCTGTATCGTGCATTATACATACAAACTTTGTCGTTGTTGGCCAATTGGCTCGGACAATGGCAATGGCCCGTTGCTGTCAATTAGCTGAGAATAGAACTCGACTCGCAGTTGAAATTTGTTGAATGCCCTGCAGCAGCAGCAACAGCAGCAACAATATTACGAGTACGAGTACATTTATTAGCAACAAATTTTTGATCGGCCCCGTGGAGTGTTGTTCTGCTTGTTGTTGGCGCGTGCGCAGCCAAGTGAAACATTTGAAGCGATGACTGGGGGGCAGTCGCAGTCGCAGCCGCCGTCAGCCCCACTAGCAGCAGAAGCAGCAGAAGCAGCCAACAGCAGCAGAAGCCAACAGCAACAGGAGGGTTGTTGGAGTTGACATGGCAGTGAGCGTGAAAAGTAAATAAATATGAGTATAATACAATGAAATGGGGGTTGCTCATTCGTCTCTTCAGGCTCCCCTGCCCTCCCTCCCCCCTTCCGACTCTTCAATGTTGAGCAAACATCGGCAACGCCACCAACAAAATAATACAAAACATACAAAAATATGAAAACAAAACAAAACAAAACAAAAACTCTTAATCATACTCTAACGCTGGCGCAGGCAGCGCTGGCAGCGACGCCAGCTGCGCAGTTGGCGTAACTTTTGCATAGGAGTTTTTTTTGTTTCAGATTCGGAATCGGAGTCAGAGTCGAAGTTTTACTTTTGGCCAAACAACATTTGCGTCGACGTCGTCACGGAAGGCAGACGCGACAAACGCGACAAACGCAACATCGAACGGAAACCGGAAAACGAAACGAAAGAAAAATAAAACAGAAACAGAAACAAAAAGAATTAAAAGCCATCAGCGGATTGCGACAAAACAAGAGAAAAAGAGCAGAGAACGCTAACGAGAACGCCAAGCGGGAATTGGGAATTGGGGAACTGGGAACTGCGAGCCGCGAACCGGGAACGGAACGGAACGGTACGGGTACGGGGACGGAGACGGTACCATGTCCAGTAGTTCGCCGGTGATCGTGTGGAACGGTGCTCAGTACACGGCCAGCAGCAAAGAGCTAGAGCAGCTGCGTCGCGACTACGGCCTGGATGCACGCATGCTGGAGGCGACTCTCGTGCCGCGCTACAAACGCCACAAGCCGGAGGCCAGTGCCCGCAACGAGCACGTCAAACTACAGCCAGGAACAGGAACGGGAACAGGAACGGGAACAGGAAAGCCCAGTCCCATCTCCAGCTCCGACTGGATCCTGCGCCAGGATAAGGATAAGACCGTCAGCCAAGTAAACTTTCATCCCTGGCCGGGCACCCACTTCGATCTGGTGCCGTGGCGACGCACCCGCTCCGCCTTGGACCTCACCTCGGTGGCCGACTACAACCACAGCCTGTTGGTGGATGCCAAGTCGCTGCGCGGCCTAGAGAAGCTCGAATTGCGTCAGCAACGGCGCCGCCTGCAGCGTGCCCAATCCACCCAGCAAGGCCTGAGACGGCTCGTCCGGGTGCGCCTCATCTTCTCCATCGAGCTGCGCCACAAGCGGATGGAGGTGCTACGGAAGAGCTCGCTGCCCGTGCGGGTGTTCGAGCAGCGGTTCGCTCTCAGTGAGAACGAAAGCGCCGCCTACGAGAGGGTGCTGCTGGATGCCAACGCTGGCGTGGAGCAGCATGTGGGCTACTTCAGCAGAAGGCAGCCGGCACAGGATGAGCAGCTAGTTGTCGATTTTGCCAGCGAAACGGAGGCGGAAGCTGAGGAAAAAGCCGAGCCCCAGGAGGCTCTGTATGCAACGATAGCCAGTCCAGGAGCCAAGAGAGCAGCTTCCAGTGCCAGTGCCACTGTTCCTGTTGCTGCCACTGTTACTCCTTCATCGGGTCAGGTGCCATGCGTCAAGTGTCGCGACATTGCCATCAAATTAAGGTAAACCCCGCAGACAGCCAGTGAAATCTCCGCCAATCTTCTCTTTAGACAGAAATTCGAACGGTAAACGAGAACAGAAAAAAAAGAAACAAATAACTTCAAAAATAACTTTACTCCAAATTCCAATTAACTACAGTGAAGTGTGACTAAAGAAAACCCAAAAAACAAATCAACTAAAAATTTTAAAACTTTTTTTTTGTTGTTTCAATGTGATTTGAGTGTCATCTTATTTAATTATGTGTACATAAACACAGCTGTACATACATATGTATATTGTTTATGCTTGGAGCATGAGGCAGCGTTCTCTCTAGGGATTATTCCCATTTGAATATTTTATTTATCATATTAATAATTATTTTTGCTCCCATTCTGCTGCCTACGAGTAGCTTTCCCAGTACATTCACCCAATATTAAATCACGAATTGATTATCATCTTCCGTTGCCAGTTACGAGTATGGGAGAATATATATGCATATGTGTGTAGCTTTCCCTCCTTGTCCCCTACCCATCGATGATAATAACAGGCTTCTTTGCTTAATAGTTTTTAGTCTAGTCTGCTGAAAATCATTTTGTTGCCTACACCGAATATCCATGGCCAAATTCTTTTTTTTCTTTTTCGTTTGACATCTGGAAAAGTTTTGCTAGTTTGGTACACATAATTTCCCCGGTCTAAGAAGTCTTTTAAGAATCATTCTGAAGTGAGAAAACTTTACACATATCTGCTAACTATTATGTTCTTCGCTTGGAACTATTTCACATTACAAATAAACTCTCCCACCACATTCTGTTTTTGCTTTGGCAACGTACTTGGAAGATCTTCAGCTGATGCAACTACATATTCCATTCCACTTGACATGCATGTGCTAAACATCATAAAAGAAAAGAGCAGACCTTTCTCTGACCCTCTCTGTCAGCTAGCTGTGCATACTCGTACTCGTACTCGTACTTGGATTAGACCATGCTGTCAGCATCCGAAATTTGACCCCTTAGCGCCTCTTATCTGTGGGACTCGTAACAAATCTTAATGTTGGAGCAAGTTAAATCAACATTTCCCTAACCCTGTTCACCAATTTGGTTGACCAACTGCCCCGCAATACTCTTGCCAAATAGTTTATTTCCCTTTTTTTTCACTCACTTTTTCTGTGGTGTTTGTGTGTTTATGGCCGGTGTTTGTTGGTTTGTGCGGCTTGTGGCACCTGCCGCCCTGCTTAGTTGACACCTGCTACCGGCCCGTTTTCATTTTACTGCGGCTACTACTGCTGCTGCTGCTGCTGTTGCTGTTGATGCAATAAACTGGAAGAAAGTGTCGTCTTCTCGGCTTTCTGTTTCTTTATCATTCGCCAAACTGGGAAAGCACAACACTCACACACAAAGCAGACCAAAAGCAACAGCGGAAAAGCATTTTTCTTAAATTGGCGTTGGGTATATACGAATTGCTATACCATACGAGTAGGAACTGTATTTAATACAAATACTTTTTGTTTCTTCAAAATATTCCTACAAATTATTGGCCCAATATCTTTTTACATAATCCAAAAAAAGTGCAGCAACTTCCTTCATGACTCCACTGAGTCCTATTTATTTGTGTTATGAATATTGCTACATTATTTTATTTAATTTAGTTAATATTAAAATTTATTAAATTAAAATCACGCAGGGTAAAGGGTATCTCATGCTTCGCAACCGCAGTGCATTATCGCTGCTAGCAATTAATTTGTTTTCGTGTGTGTGGGTTTGCTTTTTCTCTTTGAACAGGGGGCAGGTCTAAGGCAGGCAGTTTTGTTAGTTTTATCATTGCGAGTATCATTATGATTGGTGGCTCTGCAGCGGAAACAGCAGGGGAGCGCAGAGGAGACAAACGATCAACGATCAAGTGAGTCAGCAATGCCAAAGCATCGGCACAGTCGCATAAACACGAGTAGTGGAGGCAGTAGACTTGACCTGGTTTAGTGATTTGGAAAAGGGCACCCAGTGAAGTCAGCCAATGCAGTCGAAGGAGCCAGAGGGCCGGAGAGCCGGAGACCCAGACAGATGCAATCAACCTTAATTGTCGGTACTTCCTTTAATAATTAAGAGAAGCATCTAATAATTTTTTGTTGGTTTTCTGAGGGGGTGCAATTGTTTTGAACACTATTTATAAATAGTTTGACTGTTTCTGTCTGTTTGCTTTGTTCAAAAATTGTTAAATTAAATGCAGTGTGCCATAGCTTATTATTCCATTATTTTAACGATTCATTTCCACTTTGTTCAATCAAAATGTATTCCAAATCTAAAGCTCGAATGTTCATTTTATTCAAAAACGTTCATTATACACATTTCATGTTCATTGTCCTGCTTGTTTGCCCTGAAAATTGCCTTCTCTTAATGCAAATCTATTTGCATTGTGGCCAATAAGTTCGACCTTCAGGCTTTTTTAATTTTTCATCTCAACTTGATGAATACAAAAGCCGTAGCAGAAGGCGAATACTACGATTAGATAGCTTCCAGTAACCAAAAAATATAATTTGATATATAAATTACAATTTCTTGAAGCATTTTTATTATCTTGGTGAAAAACTAACAACAAGTTCGTGTCTCAAGTCTTTTGTTTTTCCAGCAGCGAAGTTGACTGCAATTTATTTTCACGCGCATGCCCAAAAGTAGGCAACGATTTCATTTAAAGCGGAGACTTTTCTTTTATTTTCATGGAAACACTCTGAAGTAGAGGAGTACATGGACCGTGTTTTCGTGACATGAAATGAGACCATGTGTTCGTGTTGAAAAATTTAATTTTGTCCATGGGCGTGCGGGTTCGCTCAGAGCAAAATCGGCACGAAAAAACACGATGAACAATTTATTCTCGCATGATAGAAAAGTTAAGAATTTCCGTCCTTACCAATCCTAAAGTACCCCCACTTAAGGGTGTAAAGTTTCGTATCTACACCTATGTATATACATTGTATACACCTATACAAAATGTTCAAATATAAAGTAAGAAACAACCTAGTAGTATATAATTATTTAAAGTTTTTGGGAAATGTTTTAAAATGTTCAGTAATATTTTTTCTTTTTTGACTGTCCATAGATGAAATTTCTTTAGATCTTCAGAGTTGTATTGGGCAGTAGGTATTTTTTTATAGTTTTGATATATCTGTAAAGCCTAACAGGGACTTCAACATGCAGAGGAAAGAGTATGAAATGAAAACTATACTTTTGAGTATTGAAATAAAATTATCTAAAAAATAAAAAACGTTCATTATTAGTTTATTGATCTATATTACCTAAATATTATACTATATTATATATTATATTTTATTTATACTATTAGTTTATATTTAGTTTGTGTTCGAATAATATTCATAAAAACCATCAACAAAAAGCCCTTCTTGATATGCTTATCCAAATGTTCTTTTCACTTTTTTACCCAGAACCATAAACGACTATGCTCTAAGCTCGAATCTTCACTTGAAGCACAGCAACAGCAACATAATCAACGCCAACCACAACAGCCACAAGCTGAACAATCTGCAACACAGCAACAACAACAAAGTCATCGGCAGCTGCAACAGCAACAGCAGCAACCTGAACAGAATGATGCACGCCCATCAGCTGGATTCGTATCTGGGTGGTGGACCCCTCCAGATGATGAACATGAGCAACATCGGCCAACTGCACCATCCGGGGAATGTTTCGGCGAACGAAAGGCCCAACGGAGGGGCGCTGGCCCTGCACTATGCCGCCGCGCGTGGCTGCCTCGATTGTGTGCAACTGCTGGTGGCAGCATCTGTAGATATTTGGTAAGTTAAATAGAAGCCAAAAGCTGCTGACGGACGTACTTCCCCGTCACAAAATGTAGCATAGTGTGAAAGCTTTTCTGTCGTTCTTTATTTATTTATACAATATTGTACAGTGTATCCAATATCAGATGCTAAATGCAGGGGGAACTCGGTCGACTGTCTACGATCGACAATTGACGATCGATTGTCGCAGTCCCATTTGTATTTTATTATTTCCTTGATTTGTTCGATGTTCCAATTGGCTGGAGTTTTCTTGCGTTTAAACAATTACCACAATGCGAGATTTCCACTTCATTTATATTGTACAGTAAATTGGAGAGAGAAAATGTGCGACAGATAAATAAGATCTCAGAATGGGTCACTGCAAATGTTTTATAATTAATTTAAACAGACTTTTACTAGACGTTTTCTATAATATAATTTAAATATTTTCCTATATTTAATTTCATTGATAAACAATTCCAAAGAAAGACCCATTCAATACCCAATAAACCTGTTTAAGTCTAAGCTCTTGTGAGCTGGACCCGTCTCAAATCTCTCTGCAATGATCTGATTATCGTCAGAGTTTAGCTTTTGAGTTGAGAAATTATTAAGTATCCTCCCCCCATCGAAGATTTTTAGATCTGAAAACAGTCAATTAAATGCGCTAATTAAAACTTATTAGCTCATGCAACAATGAACAAAGAATGAAGTTGAGCTGGGGAAGGAGAGAGGCAGAACCAGAAGGTGCTCTGTGATCCACCAAGTGGGCCAACGATTCCCGCCCGTCCACTGGCTGCTGGCTACTGGCTACTGGCTACTGGATTCACCCAAATTCCTATCGACCCAAAGAAGCACACGTCCACCACACAGCGGAAAAGATTCATTTAATTGTTCCAGCTTCGAATGGGAGCCAAGTGGCAAAGCAAGGCAAGGCAAGGCAAGGCAAGCCAGCGAAGCTAGCGAGTTGCAGCTTCCAGCCGGCTTCAAAGCCAAGTTTGGTTCTATCTTGTGCTATTTTCAATTGGAGTCAAACTGGATGTCAGGGGCAGGGGAACGGGGATCTGTGGCACCAGCAGCAGCAGCACCACCACAAAAGCACCGTTGCAACAAGTTTCTTTCATTCGAATCGAAGTGGAGCAACCTCAGACCAGTCAAGGAATCAGAATCAATGCCAAAGCCTGATCTCCACTCCACTCTGCACCTCTCCCATTTCTCTACCATTTCTCTCCTGTTCTCTTGCATCTTCCATTTTCCATCTCCTCCTTCTCCTTCTCCTGGATCTACCTTGGATCTGATCTGGTCAGTTGCAAGCTGCAAGCTGCAACTTGCAATTCATATTTATAACGTGCCGCGGCAGATCAATTGACATGACAACTGACACAGCGACACAGCGACACAGAAAGCAACAAAAGCTAACTGCGGGCTGCTCGATCAGTTCTCTCGCCTGTGGCAATCCGTTTACTACCCTCCCAATGTCCAATGGGTTTCTCGTGAAGAGAAGAAACTAAATTCGCTTTAGAGACTTTCTTCCCACAATAACTTCTGAGGCAAACCTCGCCTCAGAACTATTCGATAATGTTGTATGCAAAGACGAGACCATTCAACCTGGTGGAGAGCCGCTGCTTGCTCCAGGGATTCCAGCTAAGAACGAGGGCTGATCGATGAGTTGCAACTTGAGTGATGTATTTTGATGCCAGATGCACAGCTTTTTGGCTCTGCTAAATAATTGAAGAGGAACGTAGACTGATCCCCTCAGTTTTGTGTTCGGAGTCGGAGTAAATCTTAGGCCAGCCTTCGCCGTAGATCGTTTGATAATAATGCGTGGAGCGGCGGCGCGATGAGCGCTTCTTGTGGCACAAAGCTGGTTTGCCTCCCCACCCGCTCGGGGTGGCTGGTGGCTGGTGGCTGGTGGCTGATGGCTGCCCCAGCTGAGCTTGGGTTGAGCTGGTTGGGGCAGCCGTTGGAAGCGGCGACAGTGGCTGTGGCTGTGGCAGTGCCAGTGCCAGCGTTGGCCACTCGATGTTGGCGCTGGCTATTCGCGTTTGGCCAGTCGAAGCGAACGGTGCTTTCGTTTCATTTCGTTCCGTTCCGTCTTGACTCTGCTCTGCTGCACCGCACCGCCACCGCACCGCCAGCGTCTTCGTTTGTTCGTTCGTGGGTTCGTTCGTTGTGGTGTTGCTGTTACCGTTTACCCACATCGCAGCGATCGCAAAAACCGTTACAAGCAGTAGCAGTGGCAGCAACATGCGGCCATAGAATGAATTTGAATTTTGATTTCAATGTGGGATCTGGTACGGTTTCGTCTCGCTTCGGACTCTGATGCTCGATGCAGCAGCAGCAGCAGCAGCAGCTCGGGCCTAAAAGCTGCGGACACGCCTACGCCTCCGCCAGCAACAGCGCCTTTGCCACCCAGCAGCCTCAGCCTCAGCCCCAGCCCCAGAGAGCTTGCAACGCGCTGGTCAGCCAGAAGAAGCCGACAAAATTTCGCGCTTCAAAGTATTTCGAATGCAGTTAACGAATCGGAACGCGAATTAATTAACAGTTTCAGTGTACCAAAGAACTGCAACACACAACAGCAACAGCAACAAAAGAAACAGCAACACCAGCAACATCGGCAACATCGGCAACACTCATCAAACAGCAACAACATTAAGCTTAATGCTGAAGCCAGCCCGAGATCCAGTAACCGCAACCATGAAAAGGTAGCCTCGGCCGCATCTTTCAGCCATTCAGTTACAAATAATCAATTGGCCAAGGCAGCGAGGAGGATTGCCAGCCTACCAGCCAGCCAGCCAGCCAGTCAGACCCGAAAGACTGACCCAAGAACCAAAAACCGATTCGGATATCTCCCTACTTCAAAAATAATAATAATAATAATAATATTGTGATCGTATTTTGTTCTGTGTTCTGTGTTGTGTGTGTGTGGTGTGTGTTTGTGTGTGACCAAAAAAAGTTTTACCAATTCCGATCAATGAAAATATTCTGTGAGTGCTTTGTGCTTGTGGAAGAAAACTGAAAAGATTGCGGGGAATGGAAACTGCAAGGAAATCTACAAAAATACAACATACAAAACATAATAATAATAATTTATGTTGAAACTGTAACTGCCAGTAACTTAAATGGACAGTAAATTTTACTAATGGACTTTTTGTGGCATTCCGAATGAAGGATTGAACCTCGGAGATACCTCTGGCTCGTATTTGAACAGTAGCCAAGGCTTTGAGAATTCTTTGGTCTAAAGTGAAGTCTAGAGCAGAAACACTTGATAGAAGGAATAAAAATATTGATTAGTGTGATGTAGAGATGATAATTAATAGGCAGGAACAGGAATGGTTGCATAGAAAGATTACCCAAATGGATACACAGAGTTCTAGAGACCTTAATCTAGTCTAGATAGAATTTGCATATCGAGAAATGTACCACCCCCTTCGGTGCGTGTATTTTGCATAAGAACGATAGATAGATAGATAGATAGATAAATATATAACAATTTAACATAGGCATTGACACATAAATAAAAAAAATGATAGACAGCTGGGTAGATAACAAAGAACCTCGATAAATATTTATTTAAATTTCTATAGTTGAGACCGACTCCATTGGGAGAAAGATTCATCGAAAGGTGAGAGAAGAAACGTATGCAGAGATGGTTGGAAATATATTTAGTTAGATAGATTGAAATAAATTCATAAAGGAAGCTTGAAATTGATGATAGAAAACCCGTAAAATTCATACAAATTATACAAATCCAAATGACACCTCCAGAGATATGGTATCTAGCCAACGAATGGTTAACTGGCTGACTGAATGGCACACAAAATGTGCGCCCCACAAACGGAGCAGCAATTGTCCAAAGAATCTGCTGGAGAATGTTGCCACTTGAGTGCCACAAATGGTGGAGCATGAAGGTGGTGTCGCTTCCCACAAATGCCTGAAAATCATTTAAAATTTTCTAATAATCGATTTGTAAGACAATCGTCTTTGTATTTGTCTCATTCGCGCTCTCTGTCCAGCTCTGTCTGCCTGTCTGACTGTCTGACTGTCTGTATCTGTATCTCATAGTGGTCCATTTGTGTCATCCGAGTTGCTTTCATTCTGCATTCTCTCAGTGATCGGCGATTGGCAGCGGCGATCGTCAATCACCAGCCTCACTTGTGCACGCAAATGTTCAATTAAATCCAACATTGGGGCTGCCGCTGTCTCATCATAAACGGGTACACAATATGTGTACATACGAGTACATACATACATATAACTGTCAACTGGCACAGCTAACGAGGTTCGTGTGAGGCCTCTCCTCTTCATCCATCCTCCTGCTTTCGTCTGCAGCTCAATTATGCCGCCTTTCATTTGTCGGGGCTTCAATTTGGTGTTTTCTATATGGCAAGACACATTAAATAAATTAAAAAATAATTATTAAATTGCAATTAGAAACAATAACAAAAAAAGCACAGAGCAAAGCAGAGCAGAGCAGAGCAGATATGAGAAGATATCAGCAAATTGGGAATACAATACTTATATATATACATATATACATACATATATAAATATATTTCTTACTGTATTTTCACCTATTTGAAAGAAGCGACAGCAGAAGACAAAAACCAAACAGAAGCTGAAACAGGGGACGGGTGACGGGGGAGAGGGTGGCGGGTGGCGGGTGGCGGGTGTTGGATAAAGATGAAAAATCAACTTTAATTGGTTTACAATTCATTTCTAAAGCGAGAAAAGCTGGAAAATGTAACAAGTCGTCCGAAGTCGGACGAAGAAAGCCACTTGAAGCGCCTTCTGCCACTTCTTGCACGCTCTCTCTCCCTCTGCCACTCTGCCGCTCTGCCGCTCAGTCTGTGGATCTCCCTCCCGGTCCCGGGTATTCCGTGTGTGTGTGCAATACCCATGAAGTCGTGAGCCAGTTGACTAAGTGAACAGTACAGATACGAGTACGTATATCTGCACATTACCCATCATCGTCGCCACCGCCTCCGCTCCAGCCAGCATCATTGGCAAGGGGCGAAAGCACAGTGGTACAATGTCCATGGAAGCAAGGGAGCAGCACTCAAAACAGAAATAAAAACTAAAACTCTAAACAGACATTTAGCCACAAAAAATAGATACATGCCACAGGTATGGAAAAAGGGATATACAAAATAGGAAAGGGTTTAAAAATTAAAGCAAAAATATCCCCAAGTATTAAGTTGCAACTATGCGATAGGCGGATAAAAAAGTAGAATTTGAATGAACGAATATAACTAAAAGTAGTGCAGTATTCTTTGAAATCTGTTTAAAATGGACTTTAATTTATGCTTTGTTTAAGTCCCAGTCCGATTTAAGCAGCTTCCACTCTCTTGCCCCACTGTGTGGCATGTGGAAAGCAGAGCTGTGCTCGCGTTGCCAGCTAAATGGTAACAGCAGCAGCAGCAGAAGCAGCAGCAGACGCCACATGGCCCGCGGCATCCACTGGGAGTCAGGCGTAACACAGAGAAACGTCTGGTGCACCGCCCTCTCATCCCTCCTTCAGCTAGTGCAGTTTTTGTTGTTGTTCGTTTTTGTTCGCTCTTAAGCGTTAATTTCACCAAAATAAAAAAAATGCCAGATCAGTGGTGGGTGGGAGGAGAGGCAGAAGCAGTAGCAGTAGCAGAGGGAGAAATAATGTAATGTACTAGAAGTTTGTCGAGCAGATCGAGCAGCGAGGGTTTAATCTCAGAGCAGCCGCATCGGAAGCCAGACAACGGATCCGGAGCCGGGCCGCAACAGACTTTCGGTTTCAGCCGACAGCCGACAGCCGAATGAGACCCCGTGATAAGCCATAAACCCAAAGTGTTCCGTATGAACCGGGACACTGGTAGTACGAGTAGTACGTAGCCCAGACAACAGCAAAAAAAAACTCGATATGCAAATCCACGCAACCGAAAAGAAAACCGAGAAAAAAAAACACATCAAGCGGCGGTTTAAATATTCAAAGTGATTTTTCCTAAACCAGTTTCACATCTATGTATATTATTTTTGTTGTTGTTGTTTTGTGTTCGTTCAGTGTTCAGTGCTTAACGGTATTGGGAAAATCAGAGTGAATTTAAAAACGGAAAAACCAGAAGACGAAGAAGAAGAAGCCTCCCAGACACACAAACCACAAAAACGAAAGTGCGAAACGAATATTAAACGTTGAGTGTTGACTGAGTAGGTAAGCCAAGGCCCGTCCTGCGATCAGGAGACTCCTGCTAAAGCACCAAGCACTCCACTTCAATCAACCAACCAATCAATCAATCAATCAAGCAAGCAATCAATCCAAACACCAACACACACACACACGAGTACTCACCCAACCCCTTGGCACTGCAACTGCAACTGAAACTTCAACTGAAAATTGATCTTGAACCCCAACCTAACGTGCCCAACCACTTCCACCCTCCTTGCAATCCCATCCTTATCCCACTCCCCTCTAGCTACTTCTCCACCATCAGCGTTAAGAAGGGCCTGCTGGGCCGCATGACCACAAGTCTGACCTCCTACCGCCGCAGCAAACAGAAGAGCAAATCGAACAATGACATCCACACGATCATCGCCACGGAGGTAACGGCCGCCATACTCAGCAGCAGCAGCCACAGCAGCCACAGCAGCAACTCGGAGATCGAGCAGGCAGGCCCCGCGGAGCTAGGTGGCCAGGATCAGGAGAGGGACAGTCACAGCCACAGCCACAGCCACAGCCATAGCCATAGCCGCGGACAGGAGAAGCCCAACACCAGCGAACTGCACGACCTAAGTGAGCTCATGATGGAGGCGCACAAGCATCAGCATCCACACCAGCATCAGCAGAGGAAGGCCGCTGTGGAGGCTGTCAGGGATCGTTTGGATGTTGAGGATGAGCCCGACTCCAATGATGATGACGACGATGAGGCCACGCCCATGCTGAGTGGTGTGGGGCGGAAGGAGCAGAACAATCGCCGGAGTGTTGTGAGGTTCGAAGGGGGTTTACTTAACATTTTTTGGCCCGGACTTTGGCCCGGTTTGAGTTTATTTTCCCACATAAAAACAGCGCCACATTCCATTCGATCATGGCTTGGCTTGTGTTCGATCGATTAATGCGTGGACAGTGAGCCACAAAAAGAGCACAAAGAGCAAGCAAATTAACAGCTAGGCTAGAGGAGGGTCCGTCGAACCCAGCCAGATCCACCGATCTACCGATGAACCATCGGTTCAAGCTCGAGCTCAATCAGTCCATTTCTTTGTGATAATGTTACCCGCAGTGATATCAATGGGATTGCTGTATTTTTTGTAGACTGAATGCAGTGTGAATGCCATGTGAATGCCATGTGAATGGCTCTGGCGACAGCCATGTGAATGCTTTGGGAGGCTTAGGCTATTTTTGCTAGGCTCAAATCTTTTTTGATCATTAAACACTTGATTTCCTCCTCTCTTAAGCAACGCCATTCTAATTGGATGCCAATTTATATGAACGTCTCTTTTTTTTGTTTCTCTTTTTGGCACGCTTTTCCTTGCCGATTGCAGCGCCAATACGCAAATGGACAATGATGTCACGCCCGTCTATTTGGCAGCACAGGAGGGCCACTTGGAGGTGCTCAAGTTTCTGGTGCTTGAGGCCGGCGGCTCGCTTTATGTTCGTGCACGCGACGGCATGGCACCGATCCATGCCGCTTCACAAATGGGCTGCTTGGATTGCCTCAAATGGATGGTAAGCTGATGCTGATGGTGGCCAAGTGGCTCTGTGCAACACAACACACAAATTTTGGCTGCCATATAGTTATACATAGTTGGGAAACTGTAGCAGTAGCAGTAGCAGCAGCACCCAATGGGGGTCAATTGGAACACTTGAGTTGGCTCGAATTGCCTCCAACTCGTTTTGCATGCTCTGTGCTTTTGGGTCCTGTTTTGGGTTAACGGGGTTCTTGACCAGTTTGTCGCCTGGTCTGGCCTATTCAATTTATCAATTGGGGAATGTGTCCGACAAGAGAGTCAGAGCAGACCAAGAAGCGGAGAGAGAGAGAGCGGCAGAGCGGCAGAGTGGCGAGTGGCGCATGCAAAGCAAAACTTAACCTGACAATGGACCATTGCATTGTATCCGCTCTCTCCCCCTCTGCCTCTCCGCCTCCCTCTCTCTCTCGCCAAGAACCAGAATGCATTTTTCAAGATCATCGGTAGAGTCTTCTGGCTGGCAGTGGAAAATCACCTTTCTAAATTGAACTAAATAGTTTTCATTTGCCGCAAGACGGCGCTGACGGCGGGGTGGAAAACCACTTTCCACAAACAGCCAAAAGGCAGACTCGCCAAAACGGACAGTACAGTGACACAGTGAGTGAGACGCTGAGTGGACAGTGAGAGATACCCAGCCGAGTAGCTGCCAACAGACAAGCAGACACTCTGCACAAACAAGCAAAGTTCGGATCAAACAGGACAATGGTACAGTGAGGTGAGACACTGAGTGGACGGAAGGCTGAACGGTCAGTCCGCCACTTGACAGACATTACACTGCGAGACACACCGTAAGTACGAGCGAGTGGGAAAGTATTCGCCATAAAAGATCGCTGAGCGTAGTGAAGGTCGCGAGACAGATGGCTGGTCCATCGGGCTTGAATGGGACTCAAGCTTAAAGGTCGCAGCTTTGTGTGTTTATGTGGCATATATCGGAATCACCGAACATACGTTGAGCCAATAAACAGTCATACAGTTTGCTTCAGAGACTACACAATTAACAGGATTTAGCATGAGGAATTTCAATTGTATTTCAATTTTTATTCGATGCTGGGCAGCTGAGCTGGTCCCCGAATCCAACAATAAAATACACCGCCATAGAACAGTTTTTTGGTGCCACAGGGGACAGCTTGGCTATTGGTTATAGCCTTTGGCTGTGCGAGTATGAATATTGAGGAGACTGCAGACTGATGTGCTGCCTAGGACGAGGCAGTAGAGGATAGCCCTCAATAATCCGAACCCTCTTCTGTTAACCCTCCACAGGTACAGGACCAAGGAGTCGATCCCAATCTGCGCGATGGCGATGGTGCCACGCCCCTGCATTTTGCCGCCTCGCGGGGTCATCTGTCGGTGGTGCGTTGGCTGCTCAATCACGGAGCCAAGTTGTCGCTGGACAAGTATGGCAAGTCCCCCATCAACGATGCGGCCGAGAACCAGCAGGTTGAGGTGAGTACCCGAACTTGGCTTGAACTTGCAACTTGCCACCTGCCACAAGCTAACTCTCTGCCGCCCCCCTGCAGTGCCTGAATGTGCTGGTCCAGCACGGGACATCTGTGGACTACAACAGCAAGAACAGCGTGCAGCGACATAAAACACAGCAGCAGCAGCAACAACAACAGCAACACCACCATCAACAGCAGCAACAACAGCAGCAGCAGCAACAGCAGCAACATCTGAGCAGCAGCTGCAACTCAAACTCAAACTCCTCGAAGCAGACGAGCCGCAGCAACACCATCAAGTCCAAGTCATCGTCCACACTGAGCTCCGATGTGGAGCCCTTCTACCTGCATCCCCCAGCAGTGACTGGAGGCGCAGGCGGATCGGCCATGGGCTTGGGCCTGGGCATGGGCATGGGCATTGGGATGGGAATCTCGCGCAAGAACAGCGATGCCTTGTACTCGCAGCAGTCGCGAAGCTCCTCGGAGAAGCTGTACAACGGCAGCTCCTCCATGGGCGGCAATGGTGGCGGCGGGGGAAGCAGCTCAACGGGCGGTGGCGGGGCGCTGCTGCCCAACGATGGGCTCTATGTGAACCCCATGAGGAACGGCGGCATGTACGCCACGCCCTCGCCCAACGGCAGCATCTCGGGCGAGTCGTTCTTCCTGCACGACCCCCAGGACATCATCTACAACCGGGTGAGGGATCTGTTCGTGGACTCGGACTGCAGCAGCGTGAAGCAGCACAAGAACCATCACAGTCACAGCCATCACAGCCACCATCATCAGCAGCAGCAGCAGCTGCAGCATCAGCAGCATCAGCAGATAATGCAGTCAAAGGCTGGCAATGCAATGACCATCCAGGCGGATGTCCACTCCAGCTCCAGCGGCGCTGGCAGCGGCTCCGACGAGTCCGTCTCCATCTCGTCCAGCTTCAATTCGCCCAAGAGCAGCAGCCACCACCATCAGCAGATGCGCAGCCAGAGCTTCAACCGGCATGGCAGCAGCAGCAACATCAGCAACGGCAACAGCAACGGCAACGGCAACAGCAACAGCAGCGGCGCCAAGAACAGCAACTACAAACAGCACAAGAGCATGGCCAGCAATGGCAATCAGAATGGAGGCGGGGATCACGATTACGAGGACATCTATCTGGTGCGTGAGGAGTCGCGCAAGCAGCACCAGCATCAGCAGCAACACCAGATACAGCTGCAGCAGCAGCAACAGCAGCAGCATCAGCTGCAGCAGCAGCAGCAGCAACAACAGCAGCATCAGCTGCAGCAGCAACACAAATACAATGTGGGACGATCTCGATCCCGGGACAGCGGCTCCCATTCCCGCTCGGCCAGCGCCAGCTCCACACGCAGCACGGACATTGTCCTGCAGTACAGCAATCATGTGCGTACACATACCAAGAAAATCCCACAAAAAAAGCCCAGCAACTGATGTTCCATTTTATTTCTTTGCAGCATTTGAACAACAAGCGCAACAACAGCAACTCCAGCAGCAGCAACAACAACAGCAGCAACAGCAACTCTAGCAACAACAACAACAACAACAACAGTCTGCTCAATCGCAACAAATCGCATTCAATAATCGGCCTGCACAGCAGCAAATACGATTCCTCGCTGAAGGACAACTACAGCTCAAAGAACGTAAACCTCAAGAACCAGCTGCTGAATGGCGGCATCAAGAGCGACACCTACGAGAGCGTCTGTCCGCCGGAGGATGTGGCCGAACGCACCAAGCAGACCCACAAGAACTCGATGATTCGCAACAATCTGGTGGACGCCTCGATGCCACAGATGCTCGGCAGCAGCAGCCCCAATATTGCCCAGAATGGCACTGGCAGCAACCATCAGCACAGCAGCAACAACAATCTGGGCAGCAGGAACCTGAAGCGGGTATCTTCGGCTCCACCCATGCAGAATGTGGCCTTGGGTTAGTTGACACACAGACAGATCTGTCTGCCTGCCATCACAAATAGGATTTTGCTCAACATTCCCCTTTATTATCCTTTCTCCAGTGAATGGACCACCACCACCGCCACTGCCACCACCGCTGCGTGCTCCAGCGCAGCAGCAGCGCAACAACTTGAGTGCCGAACAAGCGAGCAACAACAGCAGCAGCAGCAGCAGCAACAGCAGCAGCAACATCTACAAGAAGAATGTGTTTGGAGCAAACCCAGTGTCCAGCACTGGCAGTGGTACAGTGCCAGCTGCTGCTCCCATTGTCGGTGCTGCTGCCAACGATGCCGTTGACTCCGACTCTGGCCTGGAGGTGATCGAGGAGCCGAGTCTGCGGCCATCCGAGCTGGTGCGAGGCAATCACAATCGGACCATGTCCACCATATCAGGTGAGCGCCAGTCATAGTTAATAAATCGAATGGGTAGCAGGCGAAAATTCCAACTATTTCCCACTGGAAACCCATCCGACGTTCTGGCTCGAAACATTTTTATAGCCGTACTCGAAGAGTTAAGGGTTATATTAGATTTGTGGTGAAAGTAAAAGCAATACCCACCAAGGACGAAAATCTGTGGCATGAAGACATGAAATCTGGAATCTGGTTCAGATCGGTTCATTATTATAGCCAGAATGAAGTAATTTTCAGTTGCTTACCCCAGCCCCTCCAGCGCAGCAACGCTACTCATTCTCTGCCTTGCCTCGTACAGCGGAGAACGAGCCAGAACGGCGTGTTGGTGTGAGAAATTAAGTAGATGACAGATGTAGCGACAGAGTACGGGTATAAAAGTAGAGTCGCGGCGACAGAAGCGACTCACAACGTTCCTTCTCGTCTCCGGTTGATATCATCAGAGTGGCCAAGAACCAAACGGCAGCCAGTTGCTTGCTATTCTCTGTGTATGTTTACCCCAATTTATTGTATCATGTTGCTCATGAACTAGAATTCAACTATCGAATTGGGTTCCCTCGATTCGAACTATATATCTCTTTGGCAGCATTGGAAAATTTCAAAATTTTGTAAGCGCCATGTCCATGAATACATCCGAGTCCAGCGATGATGTGGACCTAATCGATCTGGGGACAGACAGTTCATCGACGCTGGACAACGAAAAGCTGCGGCCAAAGCCAAAGCCAAGCCCCGATTCATGGATGTTCAGCATGGATCAACTTATGGCGGAGCTGAGCAATAAAACGTCCACCAAGGACAAGTACATTGTCTATAGTGTTGGCAATCCCACGCTCTTCCTCAAGTCCCTGGATCCGCAGCAGCTGAGCGACACGGAGGCGCAGCTGCTCGAAAAGCACTTGACGGACGTCAAGATGATCCCACCCCATATGCCGATGTGCCCGGATCCACATATCGTTGTCCAGGGCATGAAACGCGATAATGTCAAGCAGAGGGCCAGCCGGGCCACTCACAGCCGTGGCAAGCCTGCCAAGGGCGTGTTCAAGGGCAGATACAGGGCCGCATGTGGCGAGGTCAGGATCTATCCAAAGCACGATGACGTTCGCAAAAAGGCTGTGCCGAACATGGATCCCGACTCCATTCCCAGTACCAGCCGAGGCCTGGCTCCGACTCCACGTCCCTCCACACCCAATGGAACGAACCCGAAACCCGACACTGTGCTCAATCGGAAGGGGTACACCAAGCGGCAGGCCTCCAAGGCCAGCACCAGCATCGGCACCAGCAAAGGGCAGGACTCGAACAACAAAGGGCAGGCCTCCAAGGACGTGAGCGGGCTGGCACGTGACGTCAATCAGGCCCTCTGGAATTATCCGCAGCCATGCGGCAGCAGCTCGAAGCACATTCCAGAGTACAATTTCGATCGCAAGGAACCCGGCAAGGACTTCCACAAGAAACAAGAAAAGAAGACCGACGCTCCTCATTAGTCGAATAAACTGAGCTTCGAATTTCCACATCTTTCTCTGTCATTTCCGAGGTCTTTTACCTCAGCCAGCAGACAACAAACAACACACAACAAACAACAGTCAACAGACAGACAGACAGACAAGAGTCGTCGGTGGGGTCTGGCTTGGACATCAGCATCGGAGTCCAGTGGCTTGTGACTGTCTGCATTGATTGATCAATTAGGGGAAATTTGCCAGTCATGTGGGTCGATTGAACTGGAAAATGCCCTGCAGTCTGCAAACAAGTTAGCCAGCAACGAGAACCAGCTTAAGCCGGGTGTTGTGTGCTGTGGACAGGCAATGTCTTGGAGGTGTCCATGGGCGATTGATGTCTCTGTTCAAATGTCTCAACGAAAGTGTTTGCTGTGGATATTGATTAATGTTGCCAGCTGCATGACTTGTGGGCAAAGTTAGCTGAGTTTATAGATAGCTAATGCTACGATTATCCCAGGATTAGTTAGATAAAATACGACTAGTGAGAGAGCTTACACTTGAGGCTTAAGCTGCTCATACTATGGTGATGCGATGACTGAATACGTTTATCGCAGCTTGATTTTGGGCTTCCAGTTCTTCCAGGCCTGGCTCGGATGATACCCCACAGACAATGCTTCATGCCGCATTAGGCGTCTGCCAACCAGTTGCCAGTTATGGCCCCCGGGGCCATATTTGCTGCCTCATTATCACACAATAAATATCGAGCTTTGGCTTAATTGCCGCAATATTAACCAAAAGCAAACTGCGTAACTCAAGCTGAAAATAAGACAGCAGACAGCAGACAGGCGGTGACAGCCACAGTAGCAATGTGATGGATAGCTGCTGCTATGTTTGACATGTGTTTGGCTCGATTTTCCATTTGTTAATTGCCTATTATGCCCCAGAAGCAGGAGAAGGAGCTGGGGGAGAGCTGTGGAAATGCTTTTGGCTGGATATAATTGAGGCGACGTTCACACGATAATGCGGCAAAGATCCGTGGAAAATGTTTCGCCAAAACAAAGAAGTGGAAGTGAACAAATGGGAAAAGTGGAAATGGCTGGCTGCCATTGAAAACAATCCAAGCCACTTGACTGCCAGTGCCGTAAAGGCGAGGGGGCAGCAGCTACGGGCGTTTTTTGTCGATCGCTATTGAAGCTTTTGCCCATGGCCGACCCCTAGCCCGACCCCGACCCCCAGATCCCGATGCCGATAGCAAATTGAGGGAAACCAGAAAAGCGTTGGGCATGCCAGCAGACAGTCAGACACTGGACATGGGAGAGTGAGTCCCTGGGATCCAATGAGGAAGCTATTTGCCATTTAAGTCGCGAGCTCTGAAGCCCCAGAGCCGAGACCCGAGAGCCGAGACCCGAGACCTGAGACCCGAGACCCGAGACCCGAGACCTGTATCATGTCCCACACATTTCCCCATAATTGGCCCCGACGATGGTTCACTCACCACCCGCAATGCCTCGTCATGGCCTGGGCGGTGATGGTTCGGGCTCTGCGCAAAACTTTTACCAATGAAAGTGAACGTGTTTGCCGCAAAGAGACAGACGATCGTTGCAGTTGCAGTTGGAGTTGGAGTTGGTGGCAACCTCCACATCGTCGTTGTCGCTGTCGTTGTCGTCGCTGTGGCTGTGTCTTTTCGGAGCTTTTCCGATCCACTGTCTTGGGTGAATAACTTTGTCGATCGCTTGAACTTGCATCAGGCTGCCAGCGACGTTTGCCCAGACAACATCGTCGAGTCTTCCCCCAAGCCCAAATCCTTCGTCGAGTCTTTAATTTCCAGCAAAGTGTGTGTATCGGTGATCTCGTTCTCCTTTTTATTCAGTGTCTCAATCAACTGTTGAGAATGTGATTATCAATCGTTCTGTGATTTATACATTTCTGTGCATCCGCGAAGCAACCTGATCCTGGACCCCTTCCCAATATGAACATGCTGGGCTCGGTGAAGATCCACAAGAACTCGCGCCGGAATTACTTCACCCTGAGCTTTCAACGTTTCGATATCTTTAGGTGTAAGTGCAAAGCATAGCAACAAAGGAATCAAATAAAAGGAAGTCAGGGAAGGAAGTTTGCATAAGTTTGATTCAAGTGTCTCGTTCGTTTTTTTCTATTGCTATCAGGCGGGGATTATGTGCCTTTAGAGCGGCGCACAACATGTGAATGTGTGCGTGCCGACCACTGCTTTAAAGGAATAATTTTTGTACGCATATTAATGCATTCTTTTGTCGCCTATTAATGTACTTTTTTTTAGATCCAGCGGGTCTTTTATTTATTGCAATTTACTCAGCACAATTTGAACTTTTAAATAGTTCTCTTTAATGGGGTTTCCATGACCATTTCTGTCACTTTAAATTTAAGTTTATTAGCTGCATTATCCAATACCCTTTTCTTTTGCTAACAGTTCTCCGCTTTGGACTCTTCTTCGACAGACTAAAATCCGTTTTTGCTTCAATTAAATATTTCAAATATTTGAGGGCATCGCCAGCATTGTCCAGCAGGCATTGCACTCATAAAGCAAACAAAAAAAAACAAACAACCAAATCAAACTGCAATTCCAATGTCGAAATTTCACCGTGAAATGGACCCGTTGCTGATGTACAGAGTTGCAGGACTCCTTTGTTGACAGGTACAAAGCGGTTTGCTTGTGCTCAAATTGATAGATAAAATGTTGAGACTTGTTGGACACATTCGCATTTTGTTTGCTCGTTTTTCATTTAGCCAAACAAAAAACAAAAACAACCAAAAAAAATGCAACCCGATTGCGATTGCGATGCAATGCAATGCATAAATTCAAAACCAAACTGGCTCGACTCGATTTTAAGTGGTTTGCCCATAGATGTATGTAGACAATGGCCGGTACAATGGCAGGGGTAGTGCCACCGGAGTGCAGCCATGACCGTCACCAGAGCCACATTCACGTAATGGCCATGAGGTCTCCACACGAAACGAGTTGTGTCCGTGAAAGTTGGAGCAAAGACGTTGGCGAGGACTCGCCGCACACTGATCGGGTTTAGTCGTAGCCTGCGGAGATTGTTTGCCCAATTAAGTTGCTTGTGGCATGGAAATTGAATCAGAAAACAGAAGAGCGGTTTCCATTGCCATGGAAATCGGTGCGCGGCTAACTTTACCTTTTTAATGGCAATACTCCCACGACAACTTGGCTGACAGCCAGCGGTGTAGGAAGTAATTCTGGCCAAACTATGACTGGCACTTCCGTGTGCCAGCATAAGGGAAGACAGTGTTGGGTGCCTCTAGGGTTATTTATGAGCCAACAAACAATTTGGAAAACTTGCCAAAGAATTATCTCTATGAAAACAAAAGCGGAAGTAGGAAGAGAAATTATTTCTTAGTCATTATTTGAAGTAAAAAATATTGCAATGGAAATGCATCACCTTATAGGCGGAAGACAGTTTACTTGGGCACCAATATAGCCGTAGACTTACCCACATCAATGTAGCTAAAGCTTATTGGACTCTTATCGTTAACCAAAGGGTACTTCAACACCACAGCACTATCTGTATTGCTATACAATTTATATATTATTATATTAGCCAGGCATAAGCGAGTCTGCAACACGTTTGGGGCTTATCATTTGTTTTCTTTATATGTTGGCAGCTGCAGAAGGTACCTTCGTCTTATCTTCGACTTTCGACAACTAAGACAACATATATACATATATTATATATTCCATGGTAACATCAGGCCTACTAGTGGGAGTGTATCTGAAGGGTAATCAGACATTTATCTGGCCAGACCAATCTCAAAGCGAATTAAAAACTTGCTGCCTAGAATTTCTTTTATGAATTTTACAGATTCATGTTTGTTCTCGAACAACATCTACAGACGTGAATGTAGATTATTTGTATTGCTATATAATATCACAATCATAAGAAGTTATTTATTTATTTTTATTTTTTTTAATTATTTATTTATTTGATTTTGATCCCAGTGCAACAGGATTTACTTAAGCAGAAGTCACAAATTTATCTTATGAGATACGAAATTAGTTTCTAATACGAATTACTGAACTATTTTTGTGCTCAAAGCTTAGTATAACTTGGTCAAAATCGAATGGCTAAAAAGAGTGTAAAATAGCAGCCTTTATGGCTACGAATGTGCCCAGGCTGTTGCCGTACCCGCTCTCAATGCTAGTCATACGACTTACGAGTTTTACACGAATACAAAATCGAAATTGAGATGCGTTCTACTTCCTTGCTTCCTTCCTTTCCGAGCTCAAACTGTGGGCTACTTTATGTGGTATAACTACTGGCACTGGGGCTGTGCTTAACATATTTAAATCGGGCTGAATGAAACGTATTTGTATGCAACTGGAGCTGCAAGCCCATTGGCGCTCTGTTCTTGTGGCGCTCTGTCTGGTGAAAGGCGCCGCAGAGTCGTCTCTGCATACGCAATGAACTATTGTTGTTGCAGTTGCAGCTGCAGCTGATGTTGAGTGGATGGTGTTGGCTGCTCAAGCGAGCATGACCAGAGCCAGAGCCAGAGCTAGAGCTAAGCTAGAGCCAGACCCAGACCGTGCCCGGTGGGTAGAGGAGGGAGGGCAGAGCCAGCCGCGATGACTGCTAACCCACAAAAGCGAGCGACGAACGAAACTCATAAATAAATTTGTTCAATTTCAGCGAACAAGAAAGCCAAGCTGCTCAATGGTAACACCAATCCGGCCAACAACGCAGCAGTCGCAGCCGCAGCAGCAGCAGCCGCCCAGCAGCCGAATGGAGAGGCCAACGGCGGAGGTGGAGGTGGAGGTGGAGGAGTTGTCTCCCAGTCGCGTAACCCGAACGGCAGCATCTACGGCTACGCCGATGCACCCAAGTCGCAGAGGGGCGGCAACTACCAGCAGACGACATCGCCCCACTATCCGCAGCAGTCGCAGCAGCCGAACCACCATCATCCCTATGCGCCCAGCATCTATGGCGGCTGCTCCTCGGCCGAGGATCACTACGAGCTCACCCAGCAGCATGCCCAGTACGCGGGCATTTACGGCGAGGCTGGGAGCGGAGCGCCCGGATCGGTTGGCGGCGGGCGCACCGGCGGACCCAATTTGGTCAACAAGCAGCTGGTGCTGCCGTTTGTGCCCCCCAGTTTTCCCAATAAATCACAAGACGGCGTCACGCACCTCATCAAGCCGTCCGAGTATCTGAAGAGCATCAGCGATAAGCGTTCGTGTCCATCCTCGGCCCGGTGAGTAGTCCCAGTCCCAGTCCCCCCTCGGGGCCACTGCCACCACTTTCAATTAGCAGATGGCAGCCGATTTAATTTGGCTGAACACATCTCGTGCAACGGCAAACATAATTAGTGCAGTGGCAGTGGCAGTGGCAGAGGCAGAGGTACAGTTGCCTCGCCTCAATTAGCCATGCCATCCAGCAGATGGCTAGGAAGATGGATGCAAAGATAGATGGATGGATGGATGGATGGATGGTTGGTTGCAGCTTGGCTGCAATTAGCAGCTCAAGAAAGAGAGAGAGAGAGAAGGAGAGCTGCAGCCAGCCACTTCCTCCGCCGCTCAAGAGTGCATGAAATTTTATGCGTGCCAATTGTGGATGTGGCATGCCGCTTGCCACGGCTGGCTGTGGCTGTGGCTGCAACTCAGTTGCAATCCGAAGATGATACTGCGCACACGCCAGGCCTGGCGCAGGTCCGAGCCCCACCGCAGTGAAAGTATCCGCCACTAATCCCGCTTCTTATTCCGTTCTCTTTCCCCGGTCTCCCGTGCAGCTCCACGGATACGGAGGACTACATGCAGATACAGATTGCCAACCAGCAACAGCAACAGCAGCAGCAGCAGCAGCAACAGCTGCATCCCCAGCAGCAGCACCCACAGCAGCTGCAACAACACCATCACCAGCATCCACATCATCCGCATCATGGGATGGGTATGGGGGAACAGCCGCCGCTGCCGCCGCCGCCTCCGCCCTTGCCACACAACATGCCGCCGCTGCCACCCATGATGATGCCACTGATGAATGGCGGCAATGACTCCACCATGGCCAGCAAGTCGCACAAGCCCAAGAAGCCACACGGAGCCACACCCAATAGTCAGGACACTGCCACACGGAAGCAGCACCAGCCGCTCTCGGCCATCTCCATCCAGGATCTGAACAGCGTACAGGTGGGTGCCAGCTCCCCTTCCACCCCTTCTACCCCTTCTGCCCAGAAAACGGGATTCGAATATTAATCCGACCCAATGGTGTCTTGCCCCTGCCACTTGCAGCTGCGACGCACGGACACGCAGAAGGTGCCCAAGCCCTACCAGATGCCAGCACGCAGTCTGAGCATGCAGTGCCTCACCTCCAGCACGGACACGTATCTGAAATCGGATCTGATTGCCGAGCTAAAGATCTCCAAGGACATACCGGGCATCAAGAAGATGAAGGTCGAGCAGCAGATGGCCAGCCGCATGGACTCCGAGCACTACGTGGAGATAACCAAGCAGTTCACTGCCAACAACTATGTGGATCAGGTGAGTTGGACTCAGTGCCCCCATCCCCCGACCTTGGACTAAGCGCGTTTTTTTGCTGCGTGGCGTGTGCAAAGATCTACTTGCAGATACCCGAAAAAGATCAGGCCGGCAATGCCATACCCGACTGGAAGCGTCAGATGATGGCCAAGAAGGCGGCCGAGCGGGCCAAGAAGGACTTTGAGGAGCGCATGGCCCAGGAGGCCGAGTCGCGGCGCCTCTCTCAGATACCCCAGTGGAAGCGCGACCTATTGGCGCGCCGCGAGGAGACCGAGAACAAGCTGAAGTAAGTTTGAGTTTGAGTTTGGGTGAGCGAGTGTGGTGAGGACGGCCGCGAGGCTGGACGGCTGGCAGGGCGGAGGGCAGGGCGGACTCTTCTCTGACCGCTGTGTATGTGGCATTTTCCAGAGCGGCCATCTACACGCCCAAGGTGGAGGAGAACAACCGCATTGCGGACACCTGGCGGCTGAAGAACCGCGCCATGTCCATAGACAACATCAACATCAATCTAGCCGGCATGGAGCAACACTATCAGCAGATCCAGTTCCAGCAGCTCCCACAACAGCAGCAGCAACAGCAGCAGCAACAGCAGCAGCATCCGCAGCAGCAGGGTGCCAATGGTGGCAACAAGGAGAACCACAGCCACAGCCCAGACTCCAATCCAGAGCCGGAGCAGGCTGCCGTCGCCGCCCTGGAGCAAGCCGTGGACCAGCTGCCCCTAGACCGGGAGGCCCACGAGCAGCAGCTGCAACAGCAGCAGCAGGAGGAGGAGGACAACATCATACCCTGGCGTGCCCAGCTGCGAAAGACCAACAGTCGCCTCAGCCTCATCTGATCTGATCTGAACTGATTTGATTTGATTCTCCCTCTGAGTCTTTTAAGTGGTGCATTTTGTTTGTTTTTTTTTTTTCCTAACTTAAAAAATGTGCAATCATGAAAAGAGAATGAAATGATAATTATACTACATATACATCATAATTATAATATTATACTAGCTTAAGATTAGGCGTTGTTTCCAAACTCCAAAATCCAAGGCAAGCTTAAACCCAAAAAAGTAACAAAAAAGAAAACATAAACGAAGCAAAAGAAAAGAAAGATCGAAAAGAAACCTAACTTGTACGATAATCATATATAATAATATTATTATTATTTACATTTTACTCTTAAATTACGATTATGATGTTTTTTCAGCAACCTATTGTTATTCCTATCTGACGTGTGCAGTGCCGAAAGCGAACCGACTTACTCGGATATGTAATTTATATTTAATAACATTTTTATCTGCATTGCATTGCATTACATTACATTTTTGGTGTTGTACTTTTATAATTAAAATTTGGAAATTTTTTTGAAACTATTTTTAAATATCATGCAAATGTATGCACATATGTACATACATACTATATACTATATGTATGTATGCAACCTTTTGATTTGACTCGGAATGAATTTAATATTTAATAGCATTAATTTAATTGCTTCGGTTAAGACTTTTTTTTTATTGTTATTTGTTTTTATACTCGGCTCAACAATTTTATTATTAATATCTAAACATACATACATACATGCACATGCATATACACAAATACATACATAAATATACAAACAAATGATTGAATCAATAAATAAATACATATACATACATACATATGAATAAAAGATCAAAAAGTGTTCTCTAGAATATATACTCAGGGGGAGGGGTGAGGGGAATGTACTTGCATCCTGTACTTAGATAATATGCATCGGACTTTCACCAGAAACCTGTGGAACATTTGGGGAGATTTTCCCCTGAACTGGATTATTTTCCCTTTATTTTCAGCAAAGCACCGAAACACAAACAATTACTTGCCATAAGTCTTTAATGTGTGTGGAGTAGCTCCCATAAATTTTAAATTTATTGGAATGTTTTGGAATGTCCTATTCTTGGATAATGCCGTTCAGATTAATTCGATTGGATAATTGGATTGGATTTATACTCTTAAATTGATGTTCGTAAATTAAATCGAAAGCAGTAGCATGCTATAATGTGCGGGTGCAGCAACGGGCTACCGGAGATAAGAGTGGATCCCTCCAATCATTATGTGTGCGGTGGGAGTTTTCTTTATCAGGGCGAATCGATCTAGAGGTGGAAAAGATCGAACTATAATAGGAATGTGTGTTTGGCACTATCTGAAGAGGAGATTAGACCCCACCAACACCGCCAAGGGACTTCTGTTTTTGTCTTTCTTTTGTGTCTTGTGTCTCCATGCTGCATAAATAATGCGAAATTAGTTTCGGACTTTGGGTGGCTTAATTAAACGTCTTCGGGGAGCCAGCTAACTGCGAGCACTGTACATATCAATGGCATATTAACTTACGAAAATATCTGTACAAATGGGCATAGATAGATCGACACTTCACCCGTGGACACTCCACCCGTACCCGTACCCGTACCCGTAGCAGGTGATAGCCCTGATATGGGAGAGTACTGCCCTACTCAGCGGTCTATATAAACAAACCCCCCGGTCCGGGCAGCCAACACTCGTCTGTGAATCGTCGAGCAATATGAAAGCCATCACACTCTGCCTCTTGGTGCTGGTCTCGGCCAGCTGCCTGCTGACCACTCCCGTAAGTTTCCACCTCCAAATGCAATCCAAACTGGGGCTAAACTAAAGCGCCCTTGAATCCCTTTGCAGGCCAATGCTGTCGGCTCGAGCGAGAGCTTGGACTTTTATTTCGAGATTGAACAGCTGCTGGCCGATCTTGATGGCGATCTCGATGCCGACTACATGGGTGTGGCCGAGCTGGGCTTCATCCGTTCCTGCCGTGCCATTCTGCGTAAAGCCTTGAAGGGCATTCGCGGCACCAACTGCATCCTCAAGGAGACTTTGGCCATGCTGACTGCCTGCACCACCTACGTCGATGCCATCGATAGCTGCGGCGTGGCCGTGCCCAAGGATGTGGCCAAGATTGTGAAAAACGTCAAGGCCATGATCGAAATCTGCAACAGCATCATTCACCTGCACTCTCAGCTGTGCGCCACCGAAGACACCACCACCACCGGCACCGGCACCACCTCCCGCAAGTGTTGCTTCAGGCTGTTCAAGGCCAGCATGTCGCTGGTCAGGAAGATCAACGTCACCCTCAAGCTGATCTCCAAGCTGCCCGCCGACACCAACTCCTGCTTCGTGGGCGCCACCAACACCGTGAAGGATGCCTGCAACGACTACATGCCCAACATCAATGACTGCATTGATTCCATGTGAACACTTTAAATAAAACCTCACAAAAATATACAAAGATCAAATTTTAAGTTCCTTGAACCCTTAGTGGGCTGTGCAGGAAAGAGGATTCTTTTGTGCTCTTCTGCGCGCATGAAATTCACTTCGCTGCCTGATATTATAGCTATTACAGCTAGGACTACGAAGTAGAGAAGAATGCATATTTCCATTAGCCAACTGAGACAATTTCTGTACTCTCTGTTTGCCAGACATCTGATGCAACGTGCTCTTCATATATTTATAATAAAAATATTTAATATATACTCGAACATATTAAGTGTGCCTTGCGAGCCTTATAAATTATCTAATGAAAAATGCACTTCAACTAAAGCTCTTTGTGGACTTGAGTGCCAGATGGACAATCGGACAGATAAGAAATAATTTTGAGTTAAGCACCAAATCGCAGCAAAAAATATTTGATGCCTGCCGACCAGATAGCAAAGACAATGAAAACAATGGTGAGCTTCTGTCGTTGATTATAATACTGGTACATATACATATACACATACATATTTATGTATATTGTAATGTATGTAAAATACTTGCACAAAGAAACACTGAAAAAATAAAATGCACAATTTTTGCTTGGTAAATTGTGAATAAAATGTTGTTTAAATAATTATTTAGCACCCACAATATGGGCACACAATGTACAAGTAAATGTACCTGTACCTATACCTATACAGCAGTGCTCGGCACGCAGACACTCACATGTTTCTTGCTGCTCTGCTGCTGCGGGCAGCCGAGCCGAGCTACCCGAAGTTTTTACGCTGCGCTGTCCGTGCATATGACGCTGCCGGTCCCTGCTATATAGTGATATACAATATGGCTTTGTGGTCAGCACAGATTTTATTTGTATTGCTTCAAGAATGGTGTACGACGTAGTACGTACACTCGATGGATAGACAATGGATGACTAAGTCTGTCTAAGTGGTCAGCTTGGAACAGTCGGCAATGTTCTGGGGGAACTCTGTGTAGTAGTTGGTCAGGGTGTTGACCGCATCGACGATGCAGGAGCCAGCATTGGGAGCAGTGTGTGGCAGCCTTTTGGCCAAAACGACGACGTGCGCCACCTGTTTCCTGAGCACCCACACTTCGTGGAGAGTCTTCACGGTGCAGCTGTGTGTAATCTTCTGGTCAGCGTCCTCGGCCGAGGCACAGATAGTTGACTTGAAGTTGATGATATTGTTGGCGGTCTTGATAATCTCGATGTTGGCATGCAAAAGGTCGGTCACATCCTTGCTGGCCGTGGTGCCGCAGAGGACAACGTCGCTGCTGAACTGCGTGGCGCTGTCCTTGATGCCTACCACCCACTTGAGGATGCAGTTGATGCCCTTCACAGTGCGCAGAGTCTTGCGAAGGACACCCAGGGCGCCAAAGGGCTCGAAATCGACCAAACCGTCTTCGGTCACATCGTACAGCTCCGGTGACATAATATCATTGGAGATGGGCTGCACGAAGGCATTGACCTGCACACAGTTTGGATTCCACAATTAATTAATTATTTTAATTTTAATTACTTTTGTCCCATAATATGACTTACGCCGAGTAGGCACAGGGCCAGGAAAAAGAGGGTGAACTTCATTGTCGGTTTCGATGCGTTAAACAAACTATGCCGACTGCCTCAGCTGCCGGTCTTTTTATATGGGTTTCTACCCATACCCATTGCACTGGGCATTGATAAGGGAAATCGTACCAAATTAATCTTATTGGGCACATAGAATGCTAATTTATATTTCCACTTATTGATGGACTCGAAATATTTAAAGCGAAGAGCTGCGCTGCAGATAGTGCGTATCAGTATATCCGCGTATCAGTTTGAAACCTTTCCCTCTATCCGCCAGTCCAGGCGGCGATGCCCCCACGTCTAACGGAAGTACGAATCTACTGAACAGATACTAGCATAACACTAGGCTGGTCCACGGTGAGCTTTGCAGATACTGCAGCATACCCTTCGGCGGTAGTCCGATATTGTTGCCAAAATCGATATTGGGATGGTCTACAAAGAGAACGTGAGACAATATTTCAACGAGATTTACTGTCATTAATTCTCGCATTTGCATTCAGCAAGTGCAAAGAAAATCACACTATCGTCGAACTATTTCCATACATTTTATCCATATTTTACCCCACCCCACTCTGGCCTGTCTTTATCTGTCAAGCTATTACATTGCCTGACTTGTGGCTCCGACATACATCAGTTACTAAACATTCTTCCAAGTGAAAGGCTTAAATTATTTTGAGATTTTCCGAGCTACAATACAAAAACCTTAATCAGACCGCAGCTGGAAAGGTATCTAACAAAATAGAAACGATGCTTTCGATGATAATGTCGGGGGCTCGTCGCCCGGGTCTGACTGTCTGGAAGGGCACTACTCGCACTGGCAGCAATAAATTCTTTAAAAAGGGCTTAAAGCCCAATGAGGAACCAGAGCCGGAGTCTTTGAAAAAGCAGAAACACACAGAAAATACACATTACCCATCATCGGGTGTGAAAAAGACAGGTATTGCTGCTCGCTCCTCGCTCCCTCCTTTTTGGCCAAGCCAATTAATATTCCTTGTTGCCTGCAGCCGCTACAGCGCCCAGCTTTTCCGACCAGCGGGCCAAGTGGACCAAATATTCAGCCGAAATGCAGCTGAAGGCAAAGCTGGCAGCCCAGGGCGTTGTGAAGCCGGCCAATCCGAATCCCCCAGTAGTCGTTGGCCAGAACAAGAAGCCGACTGACGGACAATCCAACTGGCAGCAGTCGATGCCAAGCAAGGGCAATGCGGTGGGCGATGCGGGGCTCGGCTCCTCAGCCGAGGAACAGCGCAAATCCTGGATGAATCGCATGCACGGCTCACAGAAGAATCAGGCGCAGCTCCTCAAGGACTTGAGTGCCAAGCAGCAGGCGGGTCGTGATCTGCAAATGAAAAAGAAACAGGAGATCAACAAAATGGAGTCCGAGTTCAAGGCAGTGGGACCCAATCAGTCGGCCGCCGTCGCCGAGGCCGAAGAACTGGACGAGAAGTCGCCCGAGCGTTTGGCCTACCTGGAGGCCGTACGCCAGCTGAACATTTATCAGGCCTTCGAGCCGGTGACCGGTCGCATGCGATCCAAGGTGAGCAAGTTTCAGGTGGATCCGGTCATAGAGCACACCCTGGCGCTGCTGAGCAAGGTGGGTGTATCCAAGGAGCAGTTGGAGAGCATTCCAGTCATTCAGGTAGCCGGGTCCAAGGGCAAGGGCACCACCTGTGTCATTGTGCACAACATCCTGATGGCGCATGGCATCAAGACCGGCCTACTGTGCGCCCCGCACCTCTTTTATTCGCGCGAGCGGATCCGCATCAATGGCGAGCCACTGACTGAGGTGCAGTTCACGGAGCTAACCGGCAAGTTCTATCCGAAGCTAGCTGAAATGGATCCCACGCCGGCTCACAGCCAAATCCTGACGGCCATGGCCTGTCTGGCGTTCCGCGAGGCCAATGTGGATGTTGCCATTGTGGAGGTGGGCCTGGGCGGCGCCAGCGATTGCACCAACGTCACGCTGCATGCCAAGACCATCGGCATCAGCACTCTGGGCTGGGAGCAGGGCTCCAATCTGAGCGAGTCCATGCGCGACATTGCCTGGGCCAAGGGCGAAATCATGAAGCCCTCGGCCACCATCTTCACAAATGTCAGCCAACCGGAGTGCCGCGAGGTCCTCGCCCAGAAGGCCAAACAGATGGGCGCCAAGCTGCACTCTGTGCCAACATTCAACGCGCTGACCGAAGGCAATCCCAGCCACAAGCGTTTCCTCACCAAGGCCAACCAGTCCGTAAAGTTGAACGCCTCGCTGGGCACCCAGCTGGCCTACGACTACCTCAGACGCCACAAGCCCGAGTTTGCGGTGGGACTGGAGCCCAAGACGACGCAGCTAACCGAGGCGGCCATGCGCGGCCTTGAGACCTTTGAGTCGGTGGGACACTTCGATATCATCAAGCATGACATGTACAATGTCTACTTGGACAGTGCCGATTCGATCGAATCGATGATGGTCTGCCGCGAGTGGTTCTACACCCTCACCCGCGCCCACCGCGCCACCAAGATCCTGCTGTACAACAAGACCAGCGACTTCAATGCCAAAGACCTGCTCACCATTCTCCGCTTCAATGTGAACTTTGACGAGGCATTCTTTGTGCCCTGTCCCAATTTCTTTGAGGGCGAAATATTGCCCGAGGAGGAGTGGCGCGGCATGGAGGAGCTGCAGCGAGCCAAGCGCAATGCCCGCACCTGGCGCGGCCTGTGCGAGGAGACCGGCAAGAAGGACTCGTCGCATATTACCGTCTCCGTCAATGCGTTCTTTGACCAGGTGCAAAGCAAATACGGACAGCAGCAGTACGGCATGAAGCGTGAAGTCGATGTGCTGGTGACGGGCTCCCGACCCTTGGTGGCAGCTACCATTACGCTGCTCAACAAAATGCGTGGCCTCCACTGAAACCGGGAAAGATGTCGTTTATATTTTATGCATTTATCGAATATTAAATATATATTTTGGTATATCCCATCCCACTCCCACTCCCATCAAGTTATCCGCTGGACACCTGTCCAGCTGCCTGTCTCTGATTGTTGGTTGCCCTCCAATGTCAGCGGCCACGTGAGAACTGATAAGAATCAGATAAGCTTTCCGATAATACTAGTAGAGCATCGAGGGTCCGAAATACTACGAGCATGTACCTAGAATGCGAAACCTCAGTGGATTGCCAGTCGATTATGGGCTGGAGTTTTCTTATCGGTTTGCTTTTGCGACGGAACCTGATCGCATAGCCCCATAAATATTTCCATTTTTTCATATCTTGAATCAGTAAACCATCCAACGAAGACTCCTAGACCCACTCTGTTCGTGGAAAATGTTTAGGGCATGAAAGTGCGCCCACAAATACATACATGAGTCAGACGCAGAGACTGGTACAATGATCTCAGATGTACACATGAGTAGTACCAAAGACTAAACAATTAAATACACAACTAATTAAATGGAATAAATTCCATTTCAGTTTTCTTTGGCCCCTCGTGTTAATTCTCTTTTGGGTCTGACCTAAGAGTCCTTTGCCGCGAACCGCTTTTGGGTCCTTAATAGAACATCGTGATAGTGTATGGTCTTTGATACTATTAAGCTTACATTTTGTTGGTTCCCTTAAAGTTAGGAGAATAATCGATTGAAGTTTCTCTAAAAATTTGTTATAAAATCATTTACAAATATTCACAGATCGAATATACTGGTGAAATATGATTTGAGGTTCTTGTTTATCTGAGGAGTATTTTAGTGGATCAACTTTGATCGATATTCAAATCAAATCCCACAATGTACCGATTAAAATAAGAAAAAAATAATCCCTTTTTTATATATATTTACTTTATTGTTTTTACTTTTATTATGCATAGGTTATTACTATATCTGTTTCTGCGTTCATTTCTTTTCTTTTCCCTTTTGTTTTGTCGCCTCATTACACTAAGAATTTTTCGTTGGCTTCCTTTTTTTGTATCTGCCTTCTCTCTTTTTCTTTTGTTTTCTTTTTCGCCGTGTATAGCTTGCTCTTTCTATGTCATGGAAGCGCTTGCCTGCTGCCTGCTGCCATTTGTCTGCTGCCATCTCGCTCTAACGCACTTAAACGCAAAGTTAACCAAGTATTTAATTAATATAGAAATAGTGTTAAACAAATGTAGAAAAAACAACATAAACAAAAGCGGCTTACAATTATTTGCAAAAAAAAGCTAAATATAAAGTTAATTATTCCTGCTCCCGTCATTCCCTCTCCGATTTGAATTCCTTTTGTTTTGTTTCGTTTCGGTACGTTTTTTTTTTTGATTTTCTAACCATCCATCAACGGTCGTTCCCGTTTATGCAAAAATATATAGCTTTGTATATATGTATAATATATATATATATTATGTATGTATGTATGTATGTATATAGGCGCATATCGTAATCGTTTATATAAATATATTTGTATATATATTACAAAGTTAATTGTTTTCTCTCCATTTCGTTTGTTAATATTACAATTTTTTAATTCCTTCTTAATCTTGCACGTAAATCTTTGCCTCGTGTTTTTGTTTTTGTTTTGTTTTCTTTTCTTTAACTTATAGCAGAAAACGCAATACCTTTATTTATAAAATAAGGTTACCGTGGGGTTGCAGTTGCCGTTGCCAATGCTATTGCTGTTTGCTATGTATATGGTTGAATAACTTAAACGATTGTTAAACAAAATCTAATATAAAAAAAACATCAACTCGCCGCCGCCGCCGCTGCCAGGCACCCAAAAAAGATGCGCGGCATTCTCTCAAAATGGTTTCGCTTAATTACAATGGGGGTCGGTGGGACCCCTCTCGTATATATATAAATATACATATAATAAAAAAATGATCAAAATGAGCAAATAAACAAAAAAAAAATTATTTAAATAAAAATTAACGTTAGAAGAACAGTTTTGTGGCGGGGAGCTGGAGCTGGAGGGGGAGGGGACGCGGGGTCAAATTGTTTACAATTTTTAGAGCTTTTTTTTTTAGAGTAAATTAGCAAATACGAAAAACGCTCTGTTTTAGTCTTCCCTTCATTATAGTTCTCAATCTCGTGCTTATCCATATAATTCCTTCATTTTGTTTTATATATTTTATAATTGAGTTGCTGTTTGCTGTTGCTGTTTGCTGTTGCTGTTTGCTGTTGCTGTTTGCTGCCTGCTGCTTGCTAATTGCTGTTGTTGGTGGCAACCACTGGGGTGCTGTTGTTGTGGTTGTTCTGGTCAACGCTGTCCATGTTGGGCACATAGTCGAGGGCCATCATGCAGGCGAAGACGGTCATTACCATTTTCGGCTTCACTTCGGTGATGTCCTCGGGCAGGGCGTACACGCGGGCACCGATCTTGCGGGCCATGGAGATGGCATACTTGGCATTGGCCAGATTATCCTGCAAGCAATAATAATAGTAAGTTGAATGGCCATTCGGTTGGCATCTTGGCATCTTGGCATATTGAGCCACACTCACCTCCTGCGTGCCGCTGGTGCGAACCAATTCGTAGTTGATGCTGCCCTCCTTGATCGCATCGATCAGATCGATCACAATCTTACCATCGGCAATGGCATGATCGTTGAAGTTGCGCAGCTGCGACTGCTTGCCGGCCTCCGCCAGGCGATTGTTCACCCACTGTACGATCTCCTTCTCGATGATCGGATTGCCGGTGTTGGCCAGTCGCGACAAAATGGACAGCGTGTAGGCGCGCATCAGCTGCCAGATGAGGGCTAAAGTGTACACACAAAAATGCGATTAATATATATATCAATTTGGCTGGGTATTTGTTTGCTTGACACTTACCCAGTGTCAGTGTGGCATTGCCATCGTTCAAGTCCTGGCCAGCAATGCCGACCAGCGAGAATTTCAGCTGCTTGCCCAGATCGACGGCATAGTTGCAGTTCTCCAGCTTCTCCATGAACTTGCGCAGCGGCGTGAAGCGCTTGTGGACGCGGCTCCAGTTGACGATGCCCGGCTTAATGACGTCAAACAGCTGGAAGATGACCAGGCCATCGGCCAGATCCGAGTACAGCCAGTTCACATGCGGCGACACGCCCATCGAGTTCATCCAGTTGCGGTAAGCTAATCCAATCCAATCCAATGGGAAGACATTAAATCAAACACTTTCCTTATGCCCCACTCTCGACTGTGCTGTACTTACTCTTCTCCTCGCGCGTCTCCTCGATGGATTCGAGTCCCTCGATCTGCTCGGGCTTGTCCAGGCCGGGATGGTTGTTGAACAGATTGGCGACAAAGGCCAGATTCAGCTTGTAGACACCGTTGACGACATCCTGGGGCGTGAGGAAGCTGCGGCAGTGGAGCTTGCCCGCCTGCTGGAGCATGATCTCGGCCCGCTGCTGCAGATCGGCCTCGCGCAGCGCATCCAGATTGACGTCGGCATCGTTGCCGGCGATCTGCTTGAGCAGATGCGAGTAGATCTCCGAGTCGACAATGTCCGACTGGAAGTTGGTGCAGCGGCGCGAGATGCCGGCACGCTCCAGATGGTGGTTGACCCAGCGCAGGAGAATGGCCTCGGGCGACATCTTCATGAGGTCCTCGAGACGCTCGTTGTCGAAGAGGAGGCCGGCGAGGCCGGGACAGCTGTCCAGGGTGATGTGGCTGAAGAGGCCGATGCGGATGATCTGCCAGAGCAGACCCAGCACCAGATGGGGCTTGCCCTTGGCCAGATCGTGGGCATCGATGTTGACGATGTTGCAGCCGATGGCCTGCGAGGAGACGAGGGCCAGCGTCAGGTTCTCAAACTCGCGGTAGACGGTCAGGTTCTTCTTGTTGATGGCGCGCTCGTCGATGGTGTCGGGGCAGGAGTGGTTGATGATCTTGCACAGCAAGATGCCATCCTTGATGCTCAGATACAGCCGCTTGCCCTCGCTATCGATGGGCAGCAGATGCTGCAGGTCCTTGTCGTGCCCCAGATTCGAGTTGATCCAGTCGGAGAAGGCCAGCTGCTCCTCCAGTCGCACCGAGTGCGTTGTGCCCTCGGACGAGCTGCTCGACATGCCGCCGAGCGTCTCCAGGTTCTCCTTCTTGGACACCACCGTCTTGAACGTGCTGGCCACATCCTTGCTCTTCAGGTCCAGGCACAGCGTCTCGAATTCCTCCAGATTCAGCTTGCCCTGATGCGCCGTCCTCTGTTTGCTCTTGAACTCATCGATCATCTCGCGCACCTGATAGCCGGCCAGCTTGAATCCCACCTGATTGAGGGCATCCTTCAGCTCGTGCAGATCGATGAAGCCGTCCTTGTTCGCATCCAGCTACAAAAAAAAACAAAACAAAAAAGAAAAGATGAAAAACAATCTATGAGTAATCCATTGCGATGAGTAATACGCGGCACTTGATGATTGCTTGGGTCAGTGGATCGAACGACTCTGATCGACCACATCCACCTCCCCCTCCTCCTCTCTGACCACTTCTCTGACTCATCAATCAAATCGAATCGAAATGCTAAGCAGCTGCCCCGCTCCCATTGCTATGCCCATTCCCATTTACATTCCCATTTCCATTCCCATTGGGGCGCCTGCTGGTTTATCTTTGGAATTTTCGCCCATGCAGCACAGGTATGCAAAATTTGTTTTTTTCTATCTCTCCCACACACACACACATATTGCACCTACCCCTACCCCCCATCCACATTCTTATCTATCAGTCGTCTCTGTGTGCGCTCGCTCGCTCGCTCTGCCTTATCGAATTTAATTTCCACTTTTATTTCTTTAGATCTCCCCGTCCATCTGTCTTCCTGCTAGAAGGGGGGAAGTAGTGTGTCTCTTTCACCTGACTGACTGACTGACATATCATTGGAAATTGTTCATTCGAAATTATATAGTGCAGAGATGTGTGGGAGATAGCTGAGAGGAGGATGGTGGGTGGAGTTGGAGTTGGAGTTGGATGCCAGTAATTGAAGTGTCTGCTTTGCATCCAAGAGCGTAATCATGGCCAGCCAAGAGGCAGCAGCATCTGCAGCCAGGCAGGCAGGCAAGGGGCAACGCGGATTTCCCATAAGTGAAAGCCAAAACAAAAATTTGTGTGTAAATTATCCAATGAATGAAATGGAATGGGGAAAATCACTTGAGAAACACTGAGTCCATTGAGTCCATTGAGTGCTCAACGGACTGTTGTGTTGTGTTGTGTATCCCCTTTTATGGGGATGTACTTCGGGATGACCGATGACTGAGAAAATTCTTTGCACGACTATTCGGATACAGAAAGCTTTCTGTACATTATATATTTTAAAATAAATGGGTACTTGGTGTGTATATTTCTCTATCTCAATCATTTAAAGAGAGATATATTTCATTGTTCATTTTGCTGTACTTAATTCAAATAGCAAACTGAATTCTTAATTGGATTTTCATCGAATCAATTTCCCAACCGATGGACGAGTACATAACTCTTCTTTTAATCCAAGCATCAACTTCTTAGTCGGAGTAAAAAATATTAATTTATGTATTTGTCGCTTTCGCATTTTTCTTACATCTTCAACATTTGCTAACATCTTCCTTCGTTATTCATTCCAATATTTATTGCCCTAAGAAACTCAGTAATACATAATTTTCCTTCTTTAAATTTTTTTCTAGCATTAAATTTGTCGCGCGTCATGCGGCAGCGCCTCTCAGTCCGGTGCCCGCCCATCGAACGTCATTCAATTTAATGGCTTGAAAGCTGAGTAATTATGGCAAAAATTGGAACACATGCCTGTAATCAATTGGTAATGTGGCCAGATTGTGCGAATACTCCAAAGAAATTCCCAACCCCAATGTATTCCTAATCCCCTATTCAGGGGAAAACCAAACGTTTGGGCAGGGTAGTGGCTATGCAGGGAGTACCCTAAATTTTTGTCTTTTGTATGGTGTGAAATGCTTTTCGGTGTGATATTAGTGGACTGTGGAATTTATGGGGCTTTTGGGTGGTTCGCCAAATTCTGTAGGATCGGGTGGGGTGTGCTGTGCAGTGGTGTGGTGTGGGGTTGGTTCGCTGATTGCTCCGCTTTTGCTGTTTGCCGATAAGATAAATGTTTGTGTGCGCCAAAAACAACAAACCAAAAAAAAAAAACAAGGTGAACATAAAATCGAAAACAGCACTCGATTACGTATGGTATGGTAATGATATCAGGGGGGGGTGCTGTTGGTGGGTGGGGGGTAAAACCTTAGGGCTAACCCACACGCACACACTTGTCCTTGGCCACCAACACATATTGATAGGCAAAAAGGAGGAATGGAATACATAATTCTATGACTGACATCCAACGGAAGTGATTTTTGATTTTGATTTTGGGCAGGGTAGTGGAGTGGGGCAGAGTCGAGGGCAGAGTTGAGGCGCGTGCACTTTATCGGAGGTGTTCACTGTAAGGGTGTTCACCGTATCTTGGTGTGCGTCCGTCTGTGTTATCGATTAAAAAGCCATAAAGTGCGCTGAGCAGCACAACCGATAGGAGAGTGAGACGCAACGTTAGCACACATCTGTGATTACGTGAGTCGCGGTAATCGTGAGTAATAAAAATCGTAAAGATACTAGCACATACATAGCACAGCCAACCCATAAGAAATCGTTCGAGAACGATATGATTTGTTCAACCTACATCGGGCAAGAGCTCCTCCAAATGCAGCCTGTACTCCTCGGTGGTCTGAATATCGGCCATTGCTGTTGTGTGGATTTTCCAATGGATTTGCACTTGGAATTATTGTATTTGTTTGGCCTGATTTTCTGTTTTCTTTGCTTAATTTAATGGTTCAGCCAAAGATAAACAAATAGCGACGGCAACAAAATATTAACAGAAACAAAAAATTAAGTTAATTGATTTGCACACACACACACACACTCGCACGCACACGGACGGGCACGAGCACGAACACGAAGGAAGGGTCAAAGTGTAAGGTGAAAGAAGCGCGCACACGAAACGATCGCTGTGAATGGAGTACCGGCAAGAACTACGAACGGAAAGTTGCCAGGCCAGGCAGTCGGGCTAACCGTTATTTTTGGCTTGCAGCGAGAGAGTAAGAGAGCGAGCGAGCGAGCGAGAGAGATCGAACGAGTGACTCCACAAGTGACGAGTGGGTTGAACGAGAGAGAGTCAAGGATTTTCCTTCTTCGCTAAATACCGCTACGCAATGTAACGTACGTGCATACACCCGGAACAAGCTGGAGCTGAGTAAGTACTAACTGGAGCGCTGGTGTGCCACGGACTATTTATGCCTTTTCTTTTATCAGAACTTTTTTCGTAAATCGAAGAGTAACCCAACGCACAGCTTTATCGGAACCAGAGGCAGAGAGACACACAGCAAGCGAGCAAGAGAGAGAGAGAGAGAAAAAGTGAGGAAGAGAGAGAGAGGGCCCATACCATACAATAGGAAAATGACGCGGCCTATCCTGAATCATGAGAGAGAGTGCACCCTGCCTATACATACACGGATTAGTCACGCTATTAAAAGCGATCCCAACTAAAAGATCCCAACAAAATAAAAACACTGAAACTTGCCAGTTTTTGTGGGTTTCCTTCCAAATGCATTTCCATGCGGTAATTACACATTACAGCTTGATGTTTCACCCAATTAATCAGATACTAAGCAGTACATATATATATGTATATGTATGTATGTATGAGCAAACATTTTTGGTATTTTGTTCGGTGGCTGATAAGGCGAGCGACGAGTGAGCGCGGAACACCTTGCCCTGGCCTGGCCTGGAATCGAGTCCATTCGTCAGTCAATATCTGTAGGCAAGAGTACGAGCATACATACGTACGTATATGTGTACATATGTATTACGTCAATATCGATGGGAGTGTATGTGATTACACCTGAGTTTGAGTTGCGACTCGCTGCAATAGGGTCGCCAGGGTGCATGCAAAAATTGGATATATTCAAAGCTTAAGTTTTTATTTTGTTTTTGTAAGGATTCATCTGTTTCCCCTCTATCTCTCTCTCTCTCTAATTTTGTGACTCATCTTGAAGAGTTTCAAAAAGTGTAATCATTATGCAAGCTTTTATGTATGAATTTCGATTGAGTCACGATTTAGTTGGTCAGTTTGGGTTTAACCCGAAACACAGGGCAACCCTTGCCAACCCAACCAACGACACAATTCGCCTGCTCAAGTGTTTAAAAACCTTTTTAGCGAATTGCTTACGCATCGATAATTTTTGGCACAGAGAGAATGAGATAGTAAGAGAAAGAGAGAGAGAGAGAGAGAGAGAGAGAGAACGGACACCAAGAAAGAGTTACATATGAAGTGCATGAAGTATGTAGAAGAGAGGGCACAGAAATAGAGAGCCCCCCGCTTATGTATTGGTTGGACGGGGCAGACATGATATTTAAACGTAATTGGTTTTTTAATAGGCATTGTATCAGCCGAGGGAATTATGTGGCAATTGCCATTTAAGTAATAACTTGTACAACAAATTGTATATCAAATTCCACAAAAGATAATGAAAAGTCGTGCCATGATAACACATAACTGGCGGGTGGGCGGAGCGCAGAGCGCGGAGCCAGGAAGGTGAACATAATCGAGTAATATTTACAGATACAGAATGATTCCCCCCTCCCTTGCATTCTGTTCGTTTTGTGTCACATTTATGAGCGACTACTATACACCGTAATTTACACGTAATCGCTTGCTTGGATTGCCGCTCACCCCCTGCCTACAAGCAGAAGCGCTGAACAGCAGCTGAACATACGAGTATTACTCTTACTGCTCGAATCTCTCCCATGGGGCACATTCTGGCATTGTGTACGATCATAATGGACCCCATTTACAATTTACAATTTATCAGTGGCAGCTTTATTATGAAAATGAGTCACGCACAGGGACGCTGCCCCCGGGGGCAACATCGATCTTTCATTGAGCCCAACAAATGCATAATAGTATTCGCATTCGCATATCTCCACGTTCTCACGTGACTGGCAGTTTACCATTTAATTCAAGAATAAAAAATAATTATTTTTTTAATAATCAGCTGATATTCGTATTGCGAGGGTTGCTATTTACATTTGGCCATTGGCCTAGGGTAACATTATTGGGGGGATCCCCCCATTTTTCATTTTATTTACATTGAAAAGTATGCCATTTTCTGTGAAGAACCGTCATATAAATGTAAATCGATTAATGATAAGCTAAAAATGCATCAATTCGTTGTGGTTTTTTGATATAATATTATTCTTTAATCCTTCAATAATTGCTATAGTCCCGAATCATCTCTGTTTGAGTAATTTTGGTCTCATTGGATATTTGTAGAGCAAATGAAGTAAGATGGAACAGGGCCTA